CCCCCCCCCGCAGGGGCACCGAGCCAGCGCCAGCACTGTTTCCCAATCCCCACGGTCCGCTATTCCCCCCACACACGTTTACACAGGTCTCATTGCGTTGCTGCCCGTGAGGTGCAAGAGGCAGAACTGGCAGAGGCCTGAGGTCAAAAATAACAATTTTACCCCGGGGAGGGTGGAAATATCTTCCCCAAAGCTCCCCCTGCAAACCCGAAAGCTCTCACCGCCCTGCCCCTCTCTCCCCACAGCTGCTGGGGACGTGGCTGTACGTGGCTGGGGCTGCCCAGTTCCCCCAGCACCTCCTGGAGATGCTGCTCATCGACCACGGCCACCTCCACGTGGAGCCCCGTGCCGGCGAGCAGGAGCTGCTCATCACCCAGCGCGTGGCCATGTGAGATGCAACCCCCCGGGTCCCCCCACCCCAACCCATCTCCTCCCACGTGCTGCAGCCCCCGCAGCCATTTCGACACAAGCTGTGAACACAGTTTCATACTGGTTTTCCCAAGGAGAGTCGCTCCCGGCTGCTCCGTGCATGCTTTCCCATTCCCCATCTTCCTCACCCATTCTTTTATTTATTTATTTCAACCGCCCCCAGGTTTAGGTAAATTTTCCAGGGCACAGAGGTCTTGCAGACACCAACCCCTGCAGGCAGGCAAGAAGACCTCTCTGGAGGAGAAGACCTTTCCAGGGATCCGTGCGCCGTGGCTGCTAACTCTGCCCCGCACCGAAAGCTGTTTCCTCCCCAGGGTCAGACTTTAAGGGGATGGATTTTTCTGTGCCGACACAGGCAGCTCTTCGCTGCTTCAGTTCTTTTGGGGTGGAAAACATCTCGGCACCGAGGAGCCCTTCAGCCAGGCAAGGCTGAGAGCAGGAGCTGCAGGTGGAGGTCAGACAAATGCATAGGGGAAAAGATCGGGAGCCGTTAACCCTGTGCAGGAGCTGGCACAGCCGGGTCCCCATCCCACAGCCGGGGCCGGAGCCCAGTCCAGGGCTTTGCTGGTGCTTTCCAGCCCATGGGGGGGTCTCTGCTTTCCTTCCCCTCATCACCCTCTTCCCCTCTTTCTCTCCAGAGGGGACCAGTGTCTGACCAACAACTCCACCTACTTCAAAACCGCTGTCGGTAACACCATGCTGGTGAAGCACGGTGAGCAGTGGGCGCTGGCGGGGGCAGCTATCGGTGTTATCACCCAGTCTGTTTTTCGGACGGGCTGAGACAGGCGAAGGGCCCATGTCGATGTTTTACATCGTCTGATGCATTTTATTCCCGGGTTGCTTTGTCCATCTGAAGCCTCGGTGGACTCCAAACAGCTCCCCAGGGCCGGGGGCACCCTGGGTCAGTCCCGCTCCCGGGCCAACCCTGGGATACGCCAGTCACAGCCCCACAACCAAGATGGGTTGGATCCCCCGAAGCAATGCTGTGCGGGGAGCAAGGAGCAAACCTGCTCCCATCCCAAGGAAGGAGCCCACCTCATTTGTAAAGTTACTTTGCAATCCCTCGGGCGGGAAAGGAGGGGAGCATTTATGGCAGGTTCCAGCTCTGAAATCGTTTCCTCCTCACCAAGGGAAGGGAACGAGCCATTTGGGGTGGGAACTGCAAACCCCAGAGCCATGGTTTGCACCGACCCAGCCAAGCCAGCATTGCTGTGAGCAGCGGAGAGTTTCTCCCCATTTTTACAGCCCCCCAAGCTGCCAGGTCAGGCACTCGGGGCCGGACAGACCTGTTCACACCTCGAGCACCAGTGAGCCGCGGTGTCCAGCATATCGCGATGGCGGGACAGGAGCTGGATGGCTTTGGCTCCTTCACGCCCCAGGCCCACATTTAAGAAATACAATTCAAATAAACCCAGAGCCAAACAACTCGCACCACGTCATGTCCCCGGGGCTATGGGCATTGCCCCTACCCGGGCTGTGGTTAATCGCTGCTGCAGCACTGAGCGTCTGAATATCGTGGCTGTTCCCAACGCTGATTCTGTTCTCTCGAAGCCAAGACCCATCAAACCATGGGGACGCTGACGAACCTCAGCTCAGAAGACATTTTACTTATCCAGTACCAGCTGCAAAGGGAAAGGACGTATTTGGGACTGTATCTCTATGGTATGCAAACTCCATCCTGAAGTAACTTAAAGCTATCGTGGGACACCAAAACACGCACATAAAATTACCAGCTACAACCATACAGCAACTTGGTTTTGTCAACAGTTGGTGATTTTCCTGAGACCGCTGCTCCAGGGGTCACAGTATTTACAAATCCCATTAAAATCTAAATATCTTGGCGGAGCAGAAAGACCAAGTTAAAGACAAAACCCACTTACACCATAAATATTCAAAGAACAGGAAGCAAATACAATTCAGCATCAATATCACTGTAAAATCTCAATATTTTCAAGCCAGCCATGACTTTTCAGTACTTACCTCCCAGGGCAGAGCACGTGGCTCTCCAGTGCTGGCACAGGCAAAGCCGATCAGATGTACCCACAACCCCATAAAGCAGCATTTTAGACCTTGATAAGGCGTCCCACGGCCCTTCCAAGCTGCAAAGCCGTTGCTTAAGAGAGTTCAGAGACACGTAGAAAAAACTGCCTCCATATTCAGCCTCGGTCCCTCCCCAGGAGTGTCAGACTGTGCTGCAACCCCCTTGAAGCAGACAGGACCAGAGCTAACTGAGCAGACGGTTAAAAAAAGGTGATGCCGGAGGTTGGTTTTGTTCGGGTATATTCACCGCAGGGGCGAGAGACCCTGGCAGACGTCACCTCCGCAGCAAACGTTGGTGGGAGCACGGGCAAGAGAGGCAGCGAGGGCAGGGACGTGGCACGAAGGGCCATGCTGAGGCCACCGGTCCATATTTAACGCCTGGCAAATGCTTCTCCTTTTGCAGCTCGAAACCTGAACGTGAGCACAGCCCACCGGGAAGAGTTCGAGCGTCACGCCAAGCACCTGGGGCTGAGGGAAGAGGAGATCGTGTACGCGCCGTGGAAAACGGTACGTGGCTGCTCACGGGTGGGCGAGGGTCGGCAGAGCTGCCGCAGCCCCCAGCCCGGGCAGGGGTGCCGAGACCCCGGGCTGTAGCTCCAGCCATCAAACCAGGGTCTCAGATTGTCAAGGTGGTGGAAATGATTTAAGGGCCTGAGCAAAGGCAGGCTTGCTTCAGCAGTGACGGTGCTTTAAACTAACAGCTCCTGCAGATACGTGACCCCCCAAAGCAAATACCTGCACCTGAACGTCTCCAGTGGGAAGACTGGTAACTGCCTGCCTCCCCCTGCTAGGGGGGGGGAAGATAACTAAAGCATGGGATTTTTACCCCAAAATTCCTGATTTTACCCTGAAACTCCTGATTTTGCCCCAGCAGAGGCCAGCGGGCCCCAGGAGCTGCAGCAAGGGGCAGGAGGGGCTGGTGCCCTGGGGCACTGCATGGCCCCGCTTCAGCCCAGGTGGCAACCATTTACAGCCCTAAGAACCTCGGGCTGTTTTCAGATTGGGATTTGCTTTTCCAGCACCCCGAGGTGCTGCGTGATGAGCGGGTTCACAGCCTGGCTGGCTCAGGAAGGTTGGACAAGCCAGCCCTCCTCCTGCCCCAGCGCGGGGGTGTCCAGCACAGAGGCTCCTTTTCGGCTGGGGTCCAGCCCTGAGCTCCCGGCCCCATGGGACACCAGGGAAGAGGCAAAACCCTCCACTCTCACAAAAACAGACTTTTTCCTTTAGTTTTTCTATCAAAACTTTAACTGGACCCAGCCCCTGCCACCTGATTTAGGACATTTTATCCTGCAGATGACCCAGTCCCCGAGCCAGCTTGATGGGGCTCCCTTTTGCAAAGTGGGGGGATGAAAAAAATATCTTACCTTTTTCTGTCCCATCCTGTCCATCCATGTCCTAGCCATTTGCTTGTCAACAGCAGGAGATTCTGAGCTTCCAGAGGTGCCTAAAACCCCACTCTGAGCTGCCAGACTAGACCCAAGACAGCCCCTGACACCCCCCCAGCCTCAAGATGCTTCTTTTAGAACTATCCCAGGGATATTCAGGGGAGCTGGGGACAGGGACACCAGCACAGGTTGAAACTCTCGTGGTGGGGCAGGGACAGGTCTCCTCTCCCCGTTAGGCAATGGGCAGCACCTAGGAGACAGGGCCCAGCTTGCCTAAATCAACAGCGGGCATCTGGATCACATTTAATTTGGGGCAAGATGAATGAAGTTTAGAGAAAGGCAAGTTGAGTGCCAGAACTGTTCATCCTTCCAAGCTCCGGTGCAATTGCTGTTAGCTGAGAAGGGTTTTACACCCAGCGAAGAGACAGGACACCACATCCAAGGAGTAAAATGAATTCAATTAAACAAATGCAGAATAGATTTGGGGGATCTTTGTCGTCAGGCTGAAAGAGATGGATGTGAACAGAGCACCAGAGCAGACACTCACATACCCCTGATCAGGCCAAGGCGCGAGCAGAGCCTAAACCACGCTAATTCCGAGTGCCCGGGTAGCACGAGCTTTTTACTTATTTCTCAACAAGTTTGAATCCTCCTTTCCTTCAGCACACGCTTACTGACCCCCCCAGCACAGCACAGCTTTGCTCCAGAAACCTGCTTTCCTCTTTACAGCACAGGCGTGGAAAATGGCACCAGCAACAGCTCAGCACCTGGACAAACAGTGTCTGTGATTGGGAAGCCCCAAGCTTCTCTAGGCCCTCTTAGACTTATAAGAGAAAAAGGAAAAGAAAATACTTCTTTCTTTAGTAAATTCTCTCCTGGTGGTACACTGGCAGTTTCAACTTATTCTGTTGTTGCTGTTTTGGAAGGAGCTGTGTCAAGTGAAAGAAATGGAAAAAGGAAATAGCTCACGCACGGAGCCCACGGCTGCAGTCACAGCATCACCTCCTCCGGGTACCCACCAGCCTGGGACTGCGGGTAACTACCACCACATTAAACAATAAACGTCTTGCTCAAACTCTGTGCATTTTGTTGCCGAGATGTGAGAGAGCAGGGCTTCTGAAGGGATCAGAAATGGGGCTTGCAAAAAGAAATTGAACACCCGATTCACCTCATGTGTCACTCAGCAAGGGGCTGGGAAAAGCCAACCCCAGGCAATGAGGGATACAAGACAAGGTGATGCGCAGAAGGTTTTTCAGCACAGACTCAGCTTCACACCAGCTCTACTGAAAAACCAGTATTTAACTAAAGCAGTAATAGAGGCTAACCAGAAGAGGGCAATCATTAACTATTTTAAATAAGTGTGCCAAGCGTTTGATGAGTAACTGGACTATATAGAAGGCTAGAAACTTATCTTTAACTGTACAGTCTGAGAGGAAGAGGGTGCTTACCTGGAAGCCACCACCCAATTCTCTGGAAAGCAGCTTGACTGGCAGCAGTAGCCCAGCTGGGATAGATCTTCCTGCCCAAACCCCTTTGGGGTGGACAGGAGCTTCCTGATAACATTCATCCACAGCAAGGTTTGCAACACAGTATGAGGACACTGAAAAATTGACCTCCTGTCAGGGGCGGAGGGGGTGCTAACCCAACCCAGGCTGGATTTTTACTTCCCTGGAGAAAAAGGTCTTGTTTCTTCATTTCTCAATAAGCTTGGCACCCCAGAGGCAAGAAGGTCCAAGTGCCAAAATTCACGTTGCTCTCCGTGGCCCCGGTCCACCCCCGCGCTCACCAGGCACCTCACGCATCCCCTATCGCACCCCCAGCCCAAAGGGAGGAAAACAGGGTTGCTCGGTGTCTGTGCAAGCGGGGGGTTTAAAGAGACTGCTCTTACTGCATGTATGGAAAGCAATTGTCTGAGCTCTAACCTAGTAATTAAGCAATAAAAATATCTCTCTTCCTTAAAAAGCAAGGAGAGGAGAAAAGCTGGAGGGAACACAGGGAAGAAGAGAGCCCTGCTCCTCCCTCGGTCCCCCCAGGCACCCCTTACCGGGCAGCATTTCAGTTTGAGCCTTTGGCCCGATTCCTGTAGTGGAAAGGCCAAGTATAGCCGATCCCCTCCGGGTCTCAGGACACAGGTATCTGGGCAAGTCCTTGCTTCAGACACAGCTTTATCAGCGTGAGACACAAAACAAAACCCCCCGCCCGGAGGGGCGAGGGCAGGGGGGCGACGGGGGATGCTGCCAGCAGCCTTGGGCCGGCATCAGTAAGCGTCTCAGCTGACCGAAGCTGACACCGCTGGAAAGTGGTGGTTCAGATTACAGGGACCCAGACTTAATGAGTAGATTTATAGCTGAAAAAAAGGCCTTGAATTACAATCAAACACATAAGGAACCAACAAACCCAGTCTGGCCCCTGCGGCGAGTTTTGTTAACCATATCAGAGGCCACTTGCACTACCAGCTACGGCTCCTGAATGACCTTCAAGAATAGGTCCTGGTTGGCTTTTTGTTTAAGAAAAAAAAATGTACAAAGCCTTTCTTTTTAAAAACCCCATAAGCCAGGTTCCTTCAAGGGCATAATTGGACTGCAGAATTTCCAGCTTTTCAGGGAAACTTACTTCTCTGAAGAGTTACGGATCTGCACAGATGAGCAAAGTCCAGAAGCACTCAGGGACAGGGTAACAGCACCCAAACATCCCTGACTCATCACTGCCATCGTCAGCCTTGATCTCAGGTTTGCTGGTTTTGCCCTTAATTCTGTCCTCCCAGGTCTTCATAGGGAGAGTCACTCCCAGCGTCAGCATCGTTGGGGAGATTCATCCCAGGAAAAGTCTGGCCGCAAACAGCACCACTAAACCATACTGAGAAAGAGATGCGGACACGGGGTATCTCTTTGACAGACCTTTATTAGCAGACTGTTCCCTACATGGAGAATCCAAGTTAGATTTGCATTATAACAATTTGTGGTTACAGCTACAAAGATGGTTGTCATTTTGCATTGATTTTTGCATTCATATTTTCATATTCCTGTTAGGCCACACTGGTAGGAAGGAGCCACTGCAGAATTTATGACAGGTCTCAGGAAGGGGGGGTGGAAAAAAATCATATCACTAATCCAGATTGGTTAGATTTCCACGTGGCTAACTACTGACAGCACTGGATAGTCAAGGCATAGCCTTACTTGGAAGGCGCTCTGTGAACCACCAAAACCTGTCAGCAAAAGAAGCAGCTGCTGCGTGCTAGCAAACCCTCTTCTGATTTCTCACACACTTCTCCACAGTGCCCATTTGCACGTGAAGAGCACTGGTTCAGCAGCAGGGTCTGCAGATCCAGTTCCATAGCACAACTGCAGCAGCCTGTGTCCAAGTGCAAGTTTCCTTCCATCTCTCTGGAAACTTGTATTTTCTTCAGTTCCTGAGATTTCTCCCCTCCCCCCTTACCTAAAAACTCCCCAACATCGCTCTCAATTAGCCATCGTGACATCCAACATACACAGACCTTCTACTTCCCAACTTCAGCCATCTTTCAGCCATGCACAGAGGCAATTCCAAAATAAGGCGAGCCTCACAGCGCACGCTCTCCCCTCCTCCCCAGGTACTGCTTCCTCACCAGCTCCCTTCTCTCCTATGGCTTCTTGCTACAGAATTTCTCTGGGCTGAGGTCCTCCAGCAACAACCCCAGACGTGGGAAAGGCAGCTCAAGCCCCAAAGGGAAGGTACACAAACCACCTTAGCAGCCCTCCCCACGACTCAGCTGTGTGATGTAAGAGAACAAATAGAGAACTTTTTAAAACAGGAGAAATACAAGCACAGTAACAATATTTAAACAAGTCTATAAAAATAGTCTGACATAACTCTGTTCAAATAAATACAAAATAAATATGCTTTAAGCAGTAAAACAGTGGAATGCAACGCTGGTCCATTTTGCCCAAAATGAAAAAGTTGGATAAGGATCTCCCAGGCCTCAGAAGCCAGATCCTATCAAATAAAGTAGCCCATAATGCAGTCA